GGTTCAAACCCACCAGTCACTCTGCAGAAGGAAGACTGGGCAATCTACTTCCACAAAGATTTACTGCCTGGGAAACCCAATGGGTGTTGCTATGAGTTACAATTGAGTCAATGGCAGCAGATTTGGGTTTGGGTTTATCAAGTACAAAGGAGTACCAGGCTTTGTGGGGCACCTTCTGCATCCACAGTTCTGTTTAACCCTCCACTCTCATCAGAGCAGTGCTGTTATTAAGCCCATTTTACAGGGAAGGAAGTAGAGGCTCAGAAGGTAGGTGACTTGCCCAAGGACACACAGCCAGAGTGCCAGCCAGGACTCAGCTCAGGCCTGCCCGATTCCTCGAGGGGTGGTGACAGGCTGGAAGGTGAGGTTAGAGTAAGGTGGGTAAGGTGGCAGGGGGCTGGCACACAGATGGCCAGTGGCTGCCCTTCCATCTGAAGCTGACATCTGTCACTGCTCAAGAGACCCCCCATCCTCTTGACCAACACGCCCTGTGTCCTGCTGTCCTGTGGGCCTGTATTAGAGGTGGGGACACCCCTCAATACGGTCAGTCAAGGGAGGGACTCAGAGGTGGAACAGTGGGTGGATGCCAGGAGAGGGGTCTAAAAACACTAGTGAGCACCTCAGGGCAGGAGACTGCCTTTCCCATTGGGCCAAGGGCACCTCACATCACTGGTGCCTTTTGATTTGGGGCTTACAGGTCAAGGTGGAGTTAGCTTGTCAGGGGATGTGCATTCTGGGCAGAGGGGGCCGCCATCGCTGCCCCTCAGCAGTGCCTCCCTTCCTCCCTCCTTCCTTCTATCCCACCCTCCTCTTTCCTGGCCATCGGGTCCCCTCCGGCCTTTCCCCCTCCACTCTCTCTTGCCCTTCCCCCTGCCCACCCACGGTCCCCATTCCCTCGGCTCATTCTTGCCTTGATTTTTAACCAGTCCATTGAGTTATTAAATTCAGTAATTTTTACTTTTAGAAATTCTATTTAGCTCTTCATTATGTCCATTTGTTCTTTCTCCCTCTTCCCGTCCCTTTCTCCTCCTCTCCCTCCCTCCTTCCCTCCCTTCCTTCCATCTCTCTGTGTATATTTTGCTTAAATTGCTATCTTTCTTTATATCCTACATTACCTGAAGCACAGCTATTCTATAATCTCCATTGGATCATTCACTGAGCTGAGGTTCCAGGGCAGCGGTGTCACTGGAGGGGCTGTGGGGGGTGTGGACCGCACCAGGCGACACTGTCAGAGGGGATGGCACCAAGATGGCTGTCTTTAAAATTGTTGTGCAGTGTTTCAGCAGAACTTTATTATTATTTTATAACAATATCCCTGTAGTTAGTTATCACAGCAAAAACATTCCCCATAAGCCAGCTTACATGCATCAATGTATCTACAAGGCTCAGACTCCCTGATAACTTACCTGTGAACCTTCTCAATGGCTCCAGTCATTATTAGCCAATTACAATAACGCTTCAGATCACATGGTTTGTTTACACGCGAGACAAGGACACACTGTCTTTTTCAGTGCTGCCGGTGTTTTTATAGTTGCTGATTTTGTCAACTGTTGTGGTGTTTTAGCTACAACATTGTTCTAATTAGTATTTGTGAACCTGTATCAGTAATTTTTTTGAGAATGAAATAGTCATTAAAGAAAAAGAAGTGGGGAAAAAAAAACCTTCCACTCAGTTACTAATGTTATAATTCAATGTAGAAAGATTTTACAAAACAATTTTGTTGTTAGTATTCATATATCTAAGAAATTTTACATTTAGGCAATTTACAATTATATTTATCACATGTTATTCTGGTGGCGTAGTGACTAAGGTATTGACTGTTAACCAGAAGGTTGGTGGTTCAAACCCATCAGCCACTCCGAGGAAGGAAGACTGGGAAATCTACTTTGGTGAGGATTTACCACCTCTGAAACTCAAAGGGGGTCACTATAAGTAGAATCGACTAGATGGCAGTGAGTTTGGTTTTTTGGTTTCTTTTCTGTGATTAAAGTTGATAATAAACATTACTGAGGATTTTGTATGGTCTGGTGTGTGAAGAGGTCCATCGGGGCGGGGGGGGAGGTGACACCCTGAGTTACTGTACTGGGTGGCACCATCCCTAGTGACACCACCATTCCAGGGTCTAACATTGTTGTCTGTTGTGTCTCTTGACTTGGTGAACTGTCTCTTTGGAGTCTTTGTGACTTTGAGCTGGGCTTTTCCTACAGAGCCCTGTGTGACTGGGGCCTGGCCTCAGAGTGATTGGTTTTGTGTTTGCTTGCTTCTGCCTGGCTCATCGGGGACTTTGTTTCTGTTTTTACATCAGTGTATTTGCTGGAGTTCCTGCAACAAACAAACAAAAAACCAAACTCACTGCCGTTGAGTTGGATCCAACTCATGGCAACTCCTCCTTGGATTTCCAGGGCACTATCACTACAGAAGTAGATTGCCCAACCTTCCTTCTGAGGAGCAGCTGGTGGGTTTGAACCGCCAGCCTTCTGGTTAGCAGTCAAATGCTTTAGGCACTATGCCACCAGCGCTCCCTTGCATCAAACAGATGGTCTAAATGTGAACCTGAATCCAAAATCAGACAACAGGCCCTTAGTTGTACTCTCTGGGGTTTTTGTTTTGTTTTGTTTTGTTTTCCGGCTCAGCAACGGGCTGAAAGACCTAAGCTTCCTGCTGGTACTTTGTGGGTGTTTCTAGTTCACACTTGGCCTGAGGGGGCAGCCGCTGGAGGTCCTTCCTGTCTGCGCTGATCTCCACCCCCGGTGAGGCCCAGTCTTCTCTCTTCACCCTGCCCAGCATTAAAGCTGCTAGTTACAAGATCCACAAACACACTCCTGACTATAGCAGGCTGCTTGCCAGGAGTGTTGTGTTTGTTTTGAATCCACCGAATCAGTTTTCCCAGCATCTTCCTTTCCCGGCTTCCCATGAAGCCTTCAAAGAGCACCCTTGTCTAGGTCTTGG